CAATACAAATCTTTTATACACAAAAAAATCTATAGTTTTACTAAACATTTGTCCGTGAATAAAGATCAAAAATACTTTTCTTCATCTAAAAATCTCAATTTTCATTTGTGTAATCTCTAGAACCTCCTAAATAAATTTCAAATGTTTTTTTCCAGTAAAACTTTATATTTTATCTGTTATTTTTTCACCCTAACTTTATACAAGATTGGTCAATTTGACTGACCTCATAACCACCAAAAAAATAATTCTAAATTAAATTTTTTTTCTTTCTAGAATGACTTCAAATTATAATATGAAACTACATTTGTTTCTCCAAAATAGCTTTACACTCATAACAGTATACATCTATTTATACTTCAATTTTATTGTCTAACTACTATTCACACCATTATAAGTTGCAAATAACTTAAGGAAAATGCAGCTCATGTTACTCTATCAAATTACATTACTCGTGAGTTTAATTTTATTATTATATTATTTACTTCACCTAATCTAACCTTAAGTAACATAAAAACTTTCCTATTTTTACATTTTAGTTTTTTATAATAATAAATAATGAATACATATGAAAAACAAGAAAAAAGTACTTGCCCGAACCTTCTTTTTTTTGCTGTCGACTGTAGATGACACTTAACCCTACTTTTTATACTACTGCACTAAATAATTTCTTATTTAATTAAATAATGCAACAAATAATACAGAATAATGATGTGCAAAAAGCAGACAATAGCCCATAACTATCACACTTTTTTTGGCTTTCTAACTATGCAACAAGAGCTGTCCAAGCTTCATCTAAGCTCATTGATGTATTGTGGGAATCATGCTTGAACTGAAAGCAAAATTGACAATTCTATTAACAGAAAACAACATAATACAATACACCATTTGACAGATGAAAACCTTGGCTTTCTATTGGTTATAAATAATACATTATTGAATGACAGAGAACTATTGGCAGTTTCTTAAAGAGAAGATGTCACAAGTGAGCATGGCAAGAGAGGTCTGGTTGTCTATTTCATGGCTACATAACCAAATAAGATTGAAGGCTATAAAAATTATGCATTGCCTGAGCAATGATGATATTATAATACGTAATTTATGTTAAATTTCATACTTCTCTGAGGGGTGGTAAATAAATTAGAGAAGAGGAGATGCCAAGAAAGCAAATGTCATAATTCTTATGATAGGGGAAATTCTAGATTTTTTTTTAATGTTGCCTTTTAAGAGTAAGAATTAAACTTGTATACTATTAACAGGCCCAAATGACCTGTCTTGGCTGTGTTATAGTGGATTAGTATTTTGTAAATACAGTCATATTTCAGTTTTAATACATTTGTGTTTGATACAGTACATGAGTGATTTCTCAGCAAATAGAAAAGATGGAGGTTTTTATTCTATATTCTACCTTGTCAATATCAGTAATTTGAGTTCCTAATTTGCAGGAAACTATAGACATTGTATTTGAACATCATAAACATCTAATTTGAATCAATGCTGCATTCAACATACCACATGACACACAAAAATTAATATTAAGGATTTCTTTTTTAATATTTACTTTTAAATTAAGAAATTAACTAATGGCTCATATTAAAATTTGCATTATAAGCTACAATTTGATACACTTATAGACATACATTCATAGAATAGTAGTTCAATAAAATTTTGAATGTGAGTCAATAAATGCAATATGACATGGCCTTTAACCCATAACCTGTAGTGATAGGGTTAACAAATGAAAACTTGTCTCGAAAAGATACGTTCAAAACCACCCTCTTTGGGAGTTTTCAGATTGAACTTACTTTTAATATTCACCAAATTGTACTGTAAGGACACCCCTGGCTCCTGAGGATTTGATTATTAATATATGTTTTTAAGCTATATTTATAGGTATATAACAGTGAAAAGAAAGCAGTTTAATTACATTTTGAATGCAACTTGCTAAAAACCTTGTGCCATGTACAGAAAAAGATGCCCATGGCAAGAGAGTTAATTAATGATGATTCTTTTATTTTGCAGTAACTAATATATATTTTTTCTCTACTGAGAATTTCAACATTGTCAGGTTGAAATGATTGGCCATGTTTGGATATATGTTCATAAACATGGAAGAGGGGATTGTTTTGTTCTTGAACACAAGTAGATTTGTCTGTGGGTTTCACCAATGTAAAACTCATTGCATTGTTTACAGTTTATTTGATACACAGAAACAGAAGTACCAGAATCTTGGTACTTTTTGATAAAACTTCCACAAATTGTACAGAGAAATTAATTTGAAATTCTTCTACAATTATTTCCTAAGACTTTCTGATCGAATGCGATACATTTCGGATAAAAGGAATCGTGCAATAAATAGAGCCTTTGCTTCTGATTTTTTATTTAATTTAGAGAAAACTTTGTTAATGGATTCTATAAGAAAATTGGGTTATTAATTTTCTCTTTCAATTTGTCAAGGTCTGATTGAAAATGTTCATTACTGGAACAAATAGTCTTGACAGAATAACAGAGTTTCAACAATGCTTAATTTTTGAGAATGGTCATGGTATGATTCCAAGATACGTATAAACCTGTGTGACTGTCCTTATGATAACTGGAAGTGTGAACTATATATTATCAAGTCTGTTAACAAGAACATTCAAAAATGGAAGAGTATGGTTTTCTTCATGTTCACTTGTAAATTTAATGTCAGGATGGAAGAGGAATCATTGAAGCCAGTAAATATATCATCAACATATCCTACTCAGAAGATTGATGGATGAAGGGACATGGAAACAGCTTGGTCTTCAATTCTTATCATGAATATGTTTGCAAAAAAGGGAGAAATGAGACTGCCCATGCTTAATACTACGATCTGGTCAAAATTGAAAAGTTGTTGCAGGACGTGGTGAAATGGAGGCAATTTTTCAGAATTCCACAAGACAGAGAAGATCTTGGGGAAGGATTTTTTATGAAACAATCAAGGATACAATTCACTACTTCAGAAATGAAATGTCAATGAAATTAGACAGAAGAGTGGAGTTATCAGTGCAATTTGACTCACAGGAGACTTGCCATTTTTCTAGTGAGATCTTCCAAATCAGTTTTTAGCTGTAAAAGAGGAAACTGCTTTGGAGCCACAGCAAACTTAAACCCATTTTTAAAAGCTGATACAGATCCCTGGAAAGTTAACATCTAGAAACATTAAAAGCAGCTTGTTTTTTACCAAGTTCCCACTGTTAATGATATTTTTGGCTGTACAGTTAACAGTTATTGGGACAAATACAGATGTTCTATTTTCCTATCTTCATAGGTGGTAATGTCTTAACAATTAACAGGTGTTTTAATTTTCCTACACTGAAAACATTTCTGATAGGTACTTACCACCTTCTCACATATATGCCTATTCTCTTTCAGTGCTGCCCTCTATATGCACATTTTTTGCATGCCACAGGCCTTGAAACTCCCACCTTAGCCATGATCTACATGGTCCACAGCATTTTCGCATGTAAATCATCATGTGATAGCCCTTCACCAATAGGAGTGTGACACAGCCTCCTGATGCATGTGACACCATCTATTCTATTCTACCTAACTTCTTGTTAGGCAGATGTGTTTAACATTGTGTTGTTTTTCACACGATATATATATTTTTTTTAATTTGTGAAGTAGTAAGCCTCTACTGCATACTGTTAAGATGGAGTGTTCCACAGAATCACTCATAGGTTTTCCTCACAGTATATTTGCTTCACAAATATGGCCATTCTGGACTGTACTAACCTATGGACATTCATAGGTAAAGTGGAAGGTCACCCATATCACTGTCTTCAGTGTCTGCATTCCCCCCATGTTCTTCCAGTAATGTATGAGAGTCCTTGTCACTTTCAAGTCCTCAATGAGAATAGCTATACAAGTGAGCAAAGGTAAGATACCGTATCAGAAATACAATACTGCTTTTTCTGAACACCTTCATAGACAATCACTACTAATATACTCAAAGTAGTATTTACAGCTTTGTGCAATATACCACACTGCAATTTATCAAACAATATTTGTATTACCTTCAAACCTCGACTTCTTTTTAAAATAATACTCAGATACACACTATTATGTAACCTTTACATACAGATCCCAGAACATAGCTCTCAAAGTAATACAAGTAATCTTGACACACTGACAAAATAGTTAACACTGAAGTAGTACAATTAGATCCTGAAATATACAATTAAAAAAATCAAAAGCTAAAACAATGCATGTGTCTCTGGCACACTGATCACATAAAACAACTCTTTCAAAATAAATGTAACTTTAATATGCTGATACAATAAAAAAAATCAAATAATATATATTAAATAAAACAATTAAAAGGTAGTCAGGATTTGAACTATTATAGTCATGACATGGCAATCCTTCTGTTTATGACCCCTAATTTCATTTTTATTCAAATCAACATAAAATCTAAAATATAATCTTGTTCAGTTCTTACTCTAATGCAAATCATAAAGTTTAAAGTGCTTCAAATTGTTATGAACTGTGACTATACTGCAAAGAAGACATTTAGATATTTCACTATTTTCAACAGACATTTGATGAATAAACACTGGCCAATTACAGTAGACTGTTGAGAATTGGTTACAGGTGTCTTAAAACTGTGCATATAGTTAGGAACAGGTTTCATAAAACACACCTGAATGCCAAATACCTGAGAAGAAACGTTCCTCTCATAGCACATCACAAAAAAGCTTACCTACAATGGTGCAAACAAGTCAAGTAGACCAATATTCTTTTTACAGATGAGGTGCACTTCAAATGCAGCAAGCTACCAGGCATACACTGCAATTTGACACACAAGGCAATGGTGGAAATATGGTATGGGCAGAAACAAGTACTGGTAAACACAAGAGATAGTGTCACTGATACCACATTATGTGGATCATGTCGTACAATCCTTTGTGGTTCCATATTATGGTGAAAATAACCTTGACATCAGTCACATGAATATTAATGCTTGCCTTCATTGTGCTAAAGTGACCAACACTTTCCTTAAAGAAGATAGTAATAACCAAATAGAGAAGATTGCACACTCACTCAACATCATTCATATCAATACTAATAGGATGTTTGTGGGAGATGCATCAGCTACTAGTGATACTCTGTAAACAGCTCTTTTAGAGATGTAGTTAAAGGTATCTTAGGATTTTATCAACACTGCTTTTCAGCTTGAAATATCACTGCCAGGCGGCAGTTGTTGTTTTTTGTGATAATAATCCTATATGAAAATAAAATTTTATTAATTATATGATATAACATCTCCTCTACCAATCACTAATTTTAAAAATGTAAGCTGAATGACTAATCACGTTCATTTGAGATCACGCAAGGATCATCAAATATCTGATTTACACAAAAATGAAAAGAAAGAGGGGTGACTGACTTTATAAAAATAGTTTAGCCTTTTCATATTTAAAATATTATAAATTTCAATTATTTTTTATTGTTTTATGCAATGTCTTTAGTCTTGAAATATCCATATTATGAAACAGAGCAAAGTAAACTGACACAAAAAACATAGCAGCCAATCCTCAGTAAAAAATACTAGAATTTTATCAGCTTGGACAGGTGAATTGCATCCCGACCTGACCATTTAAAAACACTTCTCAGAATTTTTTCAAAAATAGCAGTAAATTACAGTACATCAGCAGTCAAAATATCAAGCATAGGTAACGTAGTAATTTAAAGAAGAATTATCATACCCACTACTCACTACAGCCTTATGATAAGGATCTTTTTAAATGCTTTGTCAGATGGGACTTCAATACAATCTTTTTAAAATATTAAGAAAACTTTAAATATCATTGGCCTGAAACAGTTTATTTTCATAAGTAACAATGAAGAACACAAGTATCACATGAATGGAATTTAATTTGTTTCATATCTGAATTACAGCCAATGATCCGACTTGGATCCATCTGGCTAACTATTCACAGATTGAAAACACAACTGTTAACACCTATCACTACTTCACATTTATGATAAAACAGTATAGCTCACCTTAAGCTGGTCAAATTCTTGAGCCTGTGACAGCATACCCAATATATCAGCTTCTGTCATGATGGGTTTTAGTCGTTCATTGAAAGCTTCCACTGTGGCATATTTGATATAGAAATGACTAGCAGTGCGCCCCATGTCGGTAGCATGCAAGTAACCAGTGCTTTCCTCATATCTGATCATATGTGCCTTGTCTAGTTCCTTTGCTGCAGAAATGATCAGTTCTCTCCTGATGTGTTCAAGGTGTGGATCACTCTGTTTGTAGGTAGAAATATAAGATAATACAAATAAAAAACATTCACTACCAAAACTGTTTCCCAAGTTATCCAAGGATAAAAGTACAAAAACAATATTATTCCTGCTTTATAAGTATTTCCCATCCTAGAGGATATCCAAATATTATAAATAAATAACATAAAGTAATACACATCTGTGTAAAAATTACAGTATACAGTTTGATAAATGTAACTTTAACACTCTTGTAAAAATAATCTTACTATGTGTAATACAGTTAATGACTGCTAAAAAACAAATCTGTTTCACATTTACTTAAAAAAAAAAGATTAAGCAGATGAGACTTGAATAGACTAGGATGTTTTTTTTGGTTCTAGCACTTTCTGAAAAATGTTTTTACACAATTTGAATGTTCAATAAAAAAATGTTATCCTACCAGTTCTTATACCTCATTAAATTGCCTCTAATAAAACTAATAAAAAGTGTTATATTTGTCACAAACAATATGTGTTCTGATATAAACTGATAAATATTACCATCTATGTTTTATATCAAATTGAAATCTCATGAATGCAGTAATGTTAATTTGATCTATATCAGTATTTTTAAGATTCTTTACATGATCTAGAATCATCCAATACCCGAATATGATAGCAAGAAACACAGTAAATACTATATACTTTTACAGACATGACTAAATATGTCTCCAAAAACGAAAATAACTATAACCCATGGTTTGATCATTAAATTTAGTTTTGAATATGTCAACAACAAAATAAATAAGTGTAATTAATATACCTGAGGCACTGTGTATTTGAACCCATATGCTTGTGGATTTTGAGCCAATCTGACATACAAATATGTGTATTTTAACCATTCCACTGCTTCATCTATGGTGGTCACAGTACCCAATGAAATCTAGACATAAAACATAAAGTGTTGAAGTTGTTATTTGATCTTTGAAATTAAAACTTGAATTAGTTGCAAATGCTTAAAAAAAACAACTAGATACATATTAATAAGGTTTAGCTCATCAACATAGAGATCATAATACTAACTCAATATCATTAAGTATTTTGAGCTGAAATATAATAAGCAAATTCATTTTTAAAAAACACTGAATATGTAAGCTTCATCTAAAATATTATGTACACACAGTTCTTTTTTTCATGAATGACCTACAGGCAAAACCAACAACAGTTTGAGGTAGTGGAATTTTACTTTTAGTTATCAGCCTAAATCTAGATCCCAGAAATTTTCACTTCTGCTTACCCTTATGTATTAACTGCTAGATGAAACCTTCAGAACATTTGTGATCTCAAAAAATAGTGCAATAAAAAAACTTTATTTTCATAATAATATAAAGTGATTGTTCTTGTTTGGTGTTTTATGGCACAAAGCAATGAGGCTATCTGCGCCAAACAACCAGTAAAAATGGTGAAAGCAAATTAAAGTGCAAAAATACAGTGAGTTAAAACCAATATATGTCGATAAAAGATTTATATACAATTAAAAAGACCTATAGTGCGTAAAAAAGTAAAAATACAATCTAATCGAACAGTGTCACCATTACCAATGACAGTGTCAAACGTCAGAGGTAAACTTTTAGAAAATATGTGTTTAAAATAATGCCGCCGCTCACAATCGTAACGACGGCACAACAGTAAAATGTGAGCTATTGTGACTTGAGTGTCACAATGGCTACACATCAGTGGGTCAATACCTGATAAAAGAAAACAATGGGTTAAAAAACTGTGACCAGTGCATAGCCTTGCCAGGACTACCTCCTTCTTCCGATCCTTGCGGAAGCAAGACGGCCAAAGACCAACAGTAGGCTTGATCTGGAAAAGCTTGTTATGACATTGCTCACCCCAAATCGACTGCCAACTGGCGTGAAGCTGTGCCTTATAGACAGGACGGCAGTCCATGTATGAGACAGGCATGTCCGTGATGGCACCAGAGCAGACGGATTTAGCTGCGGTGTCAGCAAGCTCGTTCCAGTGAATACCGACGTGGCCAGGGATCCAGAAAATCTGGATGGAAACAGAAGATAGAGAAAAGTGGGCCAATCGGTGTTGAATATCGATGAGAACAGGGTGAGAACTAACGTTAAGCAATTCCAGGGCCGGTAGAGAGCTAAGAGAATCAGTGTAATTGGTACAATTATTGTACTGCATAGCTTCTACATGATCCAGGGTAAGAGAAATAGCATACAACTCGGCAGGGAACACAGAAACTGTAAAGGGGATCCTGCGTGGGAGAAAGACACAATCCCAGGTGGGATGCCATGGTAAGGATCGAAGCTTGGCAGCATTTTGTAAGGAAAGTTGCAAATGACAGAGGTGAAGAGGAGGTTCGTGGGACTCAGTGAACAAACTCTGGACTGGAGAAGTGCGAAAAGCCCGAATACAGAGCCGAAGCCCCAGATGGTGAATGGGGTCCAGCATCTTCAAGGCCGAGGTCCCGGCAGAACCATAGACCCATAGTTCAGTTTGGATCGATTCAATGCACTTTAGATCCTGAGCATAGAACATTGATCTGCACCCCAAGAGGTGGAAGAGAGGACACGGAGGATGTTCAATGCCCTTGCACACTTGACATGTAGCTGCTTGATGTGTGAAATGAAGCTAAGCTTACGGTCAAAGATAAGCCCCAAGAATTTTGCCTCAGGTACCACACAAATAACTACATTGTCGAGACGGAGGTCAGGTTCGGGGTGGAGACCCCGTTGGCAGCAAAAATGCATGCAAACGGTTTTGGAAAAAGAAAATTTAAAATTAGATTTAATACTTATAACTCTCAATATGGTGTGTATATCTTCACGAAATTTGTCAGTCTTTCAGATAACATTTCAAGTCTTTCATTTACAAAAAAACATATTTTTTTTAGTGAAGTATCTTTAACAAAATATAATAAAGATTTGTCCATGAATATATTATTTGTTTTAAATAGTCCATGTGCAAAGTAATTTTCATGTTAAAATTAAATATACTTCTTCTCAACTCAAAAATTTCAAATTTCCTTTGTGTAATCCCTAAAACCTCCTAAGTGCATTTCAAACATTTTCTTTCAGTAAATCTTTATAGTTTATCTGTTATTTTCTCTACTCTATCTCAAAACGAAATCGGTCAATTCGACTGATATCGTAACCACCAAAACCAATTCAAATAAACCTAAATTACCTTTTTTTCTTTCTAGAATGATTTCAAATTCTAGTATTAAACTACATTCGTTTATCTTAAGTTTCTCTAAGCTCGTAACAATAAACATCTATTTATAATTAAATTTTATTGTTTAATTCACCTTTGAACTGTGACTAACAACTATCCGCGCCATTATAAGTTGTAAATCACTCGGAGAACTTGTAGGTCATGTTATGCTATCGAATTAAATTACCTAATAGCTGCTTGCTTGCGTGCCTCGTGGACCATTTTAATTATATTATTATTATTACTTATTTTACCTAATCTTGTCTTAAATAACTTTAAAAAATCCATATTTTTAGATTTTACTTAATTTATAATAATAAATAAAGAATAAATATGAAAAACAAGAAATAAAGTACTTATCCAATCTTCTTATTTCTTGCTCTCAATTGTCGAGGACAGTTAAGCCTGATTTTTATAGTAATGATAGTAATGCACTTAATAATTTTTATTTAATTAAATAATGCACCAGAGAATATAGACTAATAACATGCAAAAAGTAGAAAATTCCCTTAACTCTCAAAATTTTTCTGGCTTTCTAACAAGAGTCGTTACAAAATTTATCCAAGCTAATCGTTAACTTTCCCATGGGAACAAATCTTATACTGTGAGTCAAATTGACGATATTCTGTTCAGAACACAACGTGGGAAAATATTTGCACTCTGAATGAAATTGAGGATTATCTGTTCGAAAGACAACGTTATACAATAGATCATTTAATACATGAAAACCTTGGTTTTCTATTGATTATAAGTAATATATTATGAAATGTAAGAGAGAACTATCAATGAAAAAAAGGATGTGACAGGTGGATGTAACAGGAAGGGTCTGATTTTCTATTTGATAGCTCTGTAACAAAACAAAATTCAAGACTATAAAAATTATGGTTTGTCTGAGCAATAATGATTTTATAGAGTATTTTACATTTAATTTTGTACATTTTCAAGGGAGTGATGGATAAAATAGAGATGATGACATGCTAAGAGAAAATAGTGTCACGTGGGTCACACTAAGGGATATTCAGGATTTTTTTAATATTATCTTGTTGAATTAAGAACTTA